GGTGGCCGCCGCGGCGGCGGTGGCGGAGCAGGTCAGCTGGGGCAGCAGTCTGTGCGGCACCAGCCGCGCCAGCAGCGTCTGCAGTGGGGACGAGGGCGGCTTCGAGCACGCCTTGAGTGCGGAGCTCCTGGGCTCGCTGCCGGTGTCGCCGCGGCTCAGCCTGGACGATGGGTCAGTCGGCGCCGCGCCAGAGACCAATGGCGACGCACAGATCAAGACGGTCGTGGAGGGCTGCGGGGAGCCTCGCGCCCCCAGCCGCGCCAGCAGCCGCAGTGTCAGCCCCAACGCCACCAGCAAGCTGCCGTGCGCCGCCGTGGCTGCGCTCTTTGCCGCCGAGTGCGGCAGTGGCAGCTGCTCGGGCGCCAGCATCGCCGCCCCCGTGGCGGGCGCCATGAAGCCCTGCGCTGTCTCAAGCGGGGCCACGCTCCGCAGCACTGGCGATGTGAGCTGCAGCGGCGCGCGCGGCGACGCGAGCGCGGCGCTCGACGCCGCCTCCGGCTGCGAGGCGGACGCGGCGGCCGTGATTGCCGTGGTCACTCTGATGAGCAACAACAATGCCGCCAGCGGCAAGCAGTTCCTGATTAAGAACGCCGGCGCCAAGCGCCCCTGCGGCGGCCGCGGCGGCCGTGACATGCGCACGCCCGCGGAGCGCGTTCAGGGCGCGGCTCACAAGCTGCGCAAGGAGGCCGGCCGGGCGGCCGCGGCTCTCAAGGGCGCCTTCTGCATGCGTGCGCCTGCGGTGTACTGACGGCAATGCCCATCACTTGCAGTCCTTTACTGACTGCTGTGACACCCCGATACGCTTGACCCCCACATGAGTTGTCACAAGTTCGTCACATAACAAACGAGGTCTGTGGGGCCTTGCACTCTCTTTCTCATCTATTGCCAGCACTGGTGATTCTTTCTGGAGATGCACCGACTGGAATGGTCATATCTTTTGGGCAAGCATGAGCACGAGCTGCAGGATTCAGCCGCTGCCCCGCCCTGTTGTGCGGCGCCGCATTACCTTTGAGCTTCCTGCGCGATGCACCAGTGCTGTTGGGGCGCACGCTCCCTTCCTTACTCCTACCTTGCTTTCTTATCAAGTTCGAAGCACTTGAGGTGATCCCTGACTAAGCCCTTTACCTTGCGGGCTGGCAAGCCTGCCGCCCCTTGGATTGTTGCACTTGTGGGCAGGCAAAACTGCCGCCCTTGAATGGTTTGCATTGGAGCCTGCGGGGCAGCCGTGGCAAGGAGTGGGGGCGGGGCTGCTGCCAAGCGCGGTCGGCCCCCACTCAACTTTGCCGCTTTTACCTTGGCTGTGCATGTGCCGCCCGAAAACTTCCCCTCCCCTTGGATCCTTGCACTTGTGGGCTGGCAAACCTGACGCCCTTTACTTGGTTTGCATTGGAGCCTGCGGGGCAGCCGTGGCAAGGAGTGGGGGCGGGGCTGCTGCCAAGCGCGGTCGGCCCCCACTCAACTTTGCCGCTTTTTCCTTGGGCTGTGCATGTGCCGCCCGAAAACTTCCCTTCCCCTTGGATCCTTGCACTTGTGGGCTGGCAAACCTGACGCCCTTTACATGGTTTGCATTGGAGCCTGCGGGGCAGCCGCGGCCATCTAGGAGTGGGGGCGGTGCCGCTGCCAAGCGCGGCTCGGCCCCCAGTCCGCTTTGGCGCTTTTACCTTGGGCGCCGCATGTGCCGCCCCAAAACTTCCGCGGCTCCTACTTTCTCCGTCATCAGTTCCATGCACTGGATGGCGTTTTCAGGAAGGCATAGGCGTCGGTGTCATACTGATGTATTGCATTGCCCAGGCAGGCAACCTTGCCCGCCCATGCGCGTATGCAGCGGAGCCTGAGCGAAAGTTGGTGGGGATCAAACCGGGGGCGGGCGGGGGGCTGCAGCTGTGCGCGACCGCCCGAATCCAACACTTCCACGTGACCTCAGGCCCTTGCCTGACGATCAAGCGCTGATTGGGCAACCAATCCCTTCCTCATCGGTCCCAAGTACTGGTCATGAACTCTTTTGAAGCACTGCCGCTCTCATGGCACCCTGGCAGGGCGGCCAGGCAAGCTGGCTGTCCCAAATAAACTGGCCACAGCGCCGGCGCGCAGCCTTGCGCGAACGTCGGCACCCTTGTAACCTCCTGAAACAACCTGGTGATCTTCCTCCCGCACAACAAGGAGGTTGCTGCGGAGGATTGCTGGCCCCCTAGCTGCTTACCAATCAAGGGAACACCTGTACAAGCTTTGAGACGATCAGGATCGCCCCTGCTGGGTGGCACAGGTCGGGATGTTCGCTTTCATCTCAGCTCTGCACGTGCCGCCCCGGCGCTGCTGGGGTGCACATTTGCTCTGTACTACTTGCCAGTGTTCATCAACCATGATCTCTGATCAAGCGCTTGCGATGATGTGGCTTTTGAGGTCTTCAGGGCAGGCACGCACAGTCCCTTTGGGTCGTTTGCAAGGCAGCCTGAGGGGTAGCAGGGTGCGCGGGCGACGCGGCAGCCGATTGTTACCCCGCCCCTGGTCTGTGTTTGAGTTGAATTCCGGCTTGCGCATGCGCGGCCACGCACGCGGTTGGCTGCGTGTCATTCTTGCGATTTTCGTAGGCTTCTTGTGGGGCGCGTCATCCGATTTTTGCAGCCCTTCCGGAGCATGCTGCTCAGTCATGACCTCATGAGTGTTTGTGCAGGATTCGCTTACTTGCTGACTTTGCCCACCAAACCTTCTCATAAACACAACTATCAACCATGACCTAAACATTGCTTTGGGGCTGTGCAGTCCCCTCACAACAGCAAACACAGTACTGTAACACGTTGTATAATCTGAGTCCTTGTTTGGGAGGAGTAGGGCTGGCCGCAGCACCTCGTAATGTCATTGTTTGCGCTGAGGCCTGGAGGTGACCCTGACTAGCCAGCAGGATGACAGGCGCATCACAGAGTTGTGCTTAGGGTGACCATGTGCTGTGGCCCAGGTGTCACGGCCGCTGCCTCGGATGGCAGGGTGACGGCGAGGGCACCAAGCAAACTCCATGGTGCTGGGGCTGTTGACGCACATGACACGCACCTCTATGCAGCTGGATCACCAGCGCACCCACGGCATCCTTGACCAGCACACCAGTCGCACCGTTGATCAGTCGAGTCCAGGTCGAGTCAGGTGTTTGTGTCAGCAGTGAAAATGGCCACGCCCAACAGCTGTGTGTTGTCATAGCCCATACGGTATTAAGCTGTTTGTAGAGCTGCATGAAGATATTCTGTCCAACATACGGTAGCCTGCGTCACTCAAATATAAGTAGGATCCAGATCTGCAGAGGGAAAGCGTTAGCGCACAACCAAGCACCCGCAGACAATCAGCATTAGCAAAGCTTGTGACACTTTGGCTGCGGCGTGATAGAGCTCGCCGTATGCTTCACTTTCTCCAGCGATCCGCCTTTAGGATTGCTCCGCATCGGCCAAGGAACTGTGCCATGGCTTCATCGTTTGCATTGCTACCATGTGACGCGGAGCAGCAGGTGCAACTCCGACGGTCGTCGCCACCACTGCGGTGATGCCGCTTGCGCTGCGGTGCCGCTACTTTGCTGCTTGATTATGGGGCGAAGCAATCACCGTTGTGGCTCACATCATACATAGCACCTCGCACATGGAAATTTCGCAGTACACATTCGGCCCATGGCCGATAGGCGCCAGTGAAGTGTTTGCGCGGACGCAGCTGTCATACGCTTTCGTCAATTTGAAACCGCTTGTGCCTGGTGAGCCGCGTGGCAGTGCGTGCGCATGTGCATGGGCATCAACATGCACGCGTGATGAGCACCAGGCCTTGGGTGTTTTGGGATGCCGGGGCGTGGAAATCGTCGGCAGCGCAAGAGCTCGAGAACGCGCATATGGGGCAGGCGCTTTGATCCCTGCTCAGGAGGTGTCGCAGCCCCGAGGCTTGCTGAAACCAGCCAGTTGAAGACGCCTGCAGCCAGGCGCCACACCCGGCCATGTGACTCATGGCAGGGGCTCGGCTGCGGCGATGAAGCGCATTGCGCGGCAAAGGCAGGCGTCGCCAGCTGTCCTGTCGTCACACGCGACCACAAAGCTCAACATGGGCCCGAAGCACACGCGCCTGCGCCTCGTATTTGCTGTGTCATGCAGGCCACGTCTTGGTCAGCCCTGTCCGCGTTGCAAAGCGGTTTGCTGACCTGTCACCGGATGAGGTGGCTGACGTCATGATCCTCGCACAGGTGACTAATGAGAGCCCCGCACCGGATCACGCACCATGTCGCCCTTGTATCATGCGTGCTTTAATTCAACCCTGTTGAAGGGCGCATAGCGCCCGCCTGTGCACCCACTTTGATTGAGAGCGCTTATCCGCGTGCCATCAATGCGAGAGTGTGAGCCGGATTGCTGGCAGCCAGCGCGCCATGCCCCCCAACTGCAAGCCCCGACGCTCCCGGCCCCCGCTCCGCCCCTTGATCGTCCCCTGCAGCGTGTCGCGTCAACGCTGGAGCCCCATTATGGCGCGGTGGCGACAACTCTTGCCATCCAGGACGGAGCGGCAGCCGGGCAGACGGTGCGCAGGGCGGCCTCGACCGCCGACACTGGAAGAATGACGCTGCACCCCACACGCCGCTGCGGCGTCCAACGGCTGGACACGTGGCGGGGCTGCTGATACAGCACGCTTGACCTTTCAAGCCTAAAAAGGCTGTTGCAGGCAGCCTCCCACGGGCCCTTACCCGTCCCGGCTTTTGACCTCTGCCGTCGCGATTGATGCATCCCTGACGTACTGCGCGCAGGTGCCGCACGTTCACGTGCACGTGCTGCCGCGGCGGCCGGGGGATTTTGCCAAAAACGACGAGGTCTACGACGCCATAGAAGATCAGGAGTCAGCCATGGCGCGCGACAGGGCCAGGTGGGCGTTGCAAGCGATTTGTTCTGGCCTGTGGGGGACGGCAGGGCCGGCTAACGGCCAGGGACCATTATGCGTGGTGGTGGGAATGGGTGGGGGTGCACGGGCAAACGGTGCAAGGCGTGACACTCGGCGGTGAGCGAGCTTGCGAACAGCAAAAACATGAATTCGAGAGGGTGCAGCGCCAAACGGCGCACACAGGTCTTGTTCAGCACAACGTGGATCATAATATCCGGGGGCCGCCGCTGGCCAAGCGCCCTGCAGCATCCCTGCCCCCAGCGGCACGGCACGACCCCCCCCCCCTTCACGCAGCCACGAAGACGCCAAATCTGACAGCGGCGGCACAAGCACGGGCGCGGCGGCGGCAGCGGGAGGCGCGGGGGCGCCTGTGGCAGCTGCCCAGAAGCTGGACCTGGACGTCGAGCGGAGACCGCGCACAACTGATGAGATGGCGGCGGAGGCGACGGCCTTGAGGGCGCTGTTCCCAACAACGTGATCGTGTAAGAGCTCACGAAACCATGTGGATGCTTTGGTGGGCGCCGCTGCAGGGCATTTGATGGTCAGCTTGCGCAGCGTTTGGTAGCGACTGCGTGCGCTTACGGCTCTGGGCTGCTCGAAGTTGACACGGCCGCACGTTTCTGTTTGGTCAACAGCGGGCTGCGGCGTAGCATGCGGGCCTGCGACGTCAGGTGCTTTGGTCAGGGCACCAGCAGGGGCTGGTTGGGTCAGCATGTCTGCCATGCGCGGCTGCAGCAGAGCAGCGCCCGCAACTGCCCTCAGACGCGCCATTACGTGTTTGTTACAGCAATTTCTGGGCATTTATCGCCTGTAGCATGTATTACAAACGCTGCCCGCGTTGTGCTTGCGCAGGAGGTTTCGATTAGTGATTGCAGGCCGCGCGCCCGAAGTTACCGGCCTCTTTGAGCAGCCCCCGATAAATCTATTCCCAAGCTAATCATTCTCCATTATTTTTCTGATTCTTAAACCCATTTGACGACCCTCTGTCGTCCCAACCGGCCTGAAACATGGCTATCTCCAGGTGCGCAGGCACAAACGTATTTGAGCGTCTTCGATCGGCGTGGCGTGGACGCTCAAACGCATGGTCTCGCTCGCACGTCTCCAGCCAGGCCAGCGGCAGCAGCGGCCAGGCCTGGCCTGATGCCCTGATGCAACCCCCAAACGGCAGTTGCCAGCCGCGGAGCATGCAGACGCACCACCCCCCCTCCCCGCCCGCTGCTCCTGCCTTCTCTCGCCCCGCAGGGCTTTCGGCCTGGCCGCGGCCGTGCTGCTGCTGGCGGCTGTGGCGACAGCTGCGCCCACCGCCGAGGTCGACGAGAAGGCGACCATCGAGGCCGCCAAGGCCAAGGTGCGCCGCCAGGCCCGCCGCCCCCCGCTCACTCCGCCACCCACCGCCGAAAGCGACGCCGGCCCCGGCATTCCTACTTCGCGCCCCAGCTTTCGCGCTCACACAGCACGACGCTGCCCATTCCCTAAAAACGGGACCACCCCGCCGCTGCTGCCAAATCGCACGCCCCAGCCGCGGCCCTGCACAACCATCGGCTGACATCCCCGCAATCCCCCCCTGTCAAACCCTCCCCCCAGGACCACAAGTCCGAGGTCAAGTGCATCGCCAAGCAGGAGGTGCCCCTCTTCGCCCCCGGCTCCGGCGCGCTCTACTGCCCCCAGGGCGAGAACAACAGCACCGGCTGCCAGCTGATGTCCAACGGCGTTGACAACGTGCTGCGCCACGCGGGCTCCAACCTGCAGCAGAAGGTCAAGTTCGACTGCTACAAGCACATCATGGTGCGCGGCTGGGGGCGCTGCTGGTTGACTGGACATTTCTGGGACCGGATGAAAACGAGGGTTGGCAGCGGGTTCTTGTGAATCAATGAGCTTTGCGGCTGGTTTCAATGGCGTGTTTACACGGGGCCATTAAATTACTGGTGATTTTGACAAGCGTGGGGGCCCCTAGAGCGGCTGTGCCGCCCTGCACTCTGCCGCCGGCGCCGCCGCGGCGCGCGGGGG